AGGGGGGGGGAGAGAAAAGGGGTTCGCAATCGATTACTTCTTTTGTTGAAATCGTTTTCAGCTTATTCACAGATCACACGCTGTCCGGGAGCCAAATTTGAAAAAAAAACAAGCGAAGTAAAAAATATATCTTGTTTATGCAACCCCTTCTGTTTTTGTTTTCTGGAGTCTGGGTAAAGAGAAGCACATCGACACAATAGAGGTCATTCAGTGCTGGGGGAAAAGTAAGACAGACAGACAATAACAACTGAGGGAAAGTAAAGAAGTAAGACCTACTAGTGGCGCCTCCAACCACCCGCTGTTTATCTTGTGAGACTTGTCATAGGTGCTTACTTTGAGTCAGATCAGGAAGGACAAGGTTATGTTTACTTTACTGAATGAATATTGTGATTGAAAGACTGAGCTATAAGTACGTTAGTTTTTTGTTTGTTTGTTTTTCCCACCGCCAGTAAAAAAAGGGGGGGGGGGTATTGTCCCTGGGAGAAGTACTTTTAGATAGGACGCACTGTAATACAGACAGAAAAACGCAAGCCCCAAGGTATCAGTCTAATTCTTATCATCTTCTAATTGTATGCGTCATTTACATTTTTCGTTGTTGTAGATACGTGTACATAGGCATGGCACAATTTAATTTTTTAAGCAAGATTACAAACTAAAATAAATGCGCGTATCGAATGCAGATGACAGAACAGATCGATATAAAATGCCACTGATGATTACAAAGACATTAGACTCGTATAACGAGTCTTCCAATTCAAGCCTTCTGAATGGTTTCTTCACGGCTCATCGATGAGCAATTTCTAACTTTTGAAAGGAAGTTGATGATAGCTCAGCAAGATCCGTAGCACAGCTTCGAGCCATTAAGGAAGAGGTTTAACGACCCTGTGGAAAACTGAGTGACTGTTAAAACTCAATAACCTACATGAAATGACACCGGCACGATACAGGCACGAGATCGCAATGATTGCTTTTAACGTTGTTGTTATGTCGGCATCGTTTCCAGTTGATGGGTTCTTCTGTAGACTTCTCACCGTTGATTTTTCGGCTTTCATGTCTTTTCCTAGAAAGCAGCTTTTTTTGTTTTTGTGTTGTTGTTGTTTTGTTTTCTTTCTCAACATTATGGTAGTTCTGGAAAACCTCAGGTCACAGAATTATTAAAACTTAACCAGCGGCTGATAAGATTAGAAAAGATAAGGTAAGATGAGATAATAATTACAAGGTAAGATAAAATCAAGCCAGATAAGATGTAATGCGTTGAGCTGTGACAAAATAAGATACGTTTAATTCAGGTTTTTAAAGATTTACAAACTATGCTTTGCGAAGGTGAAATGTCTTCTGATCACGACATGGAAACAAGCAGGCCTCTCATTACATCATTACAAAGAACCAAAAGTACACATAAGAACCATGCACAAGCAACCACAGACGTACACATTTGCCCAAAGAACAAAGATGCTCATAAAATGCGCGTCCAGATACGCGTATTATTACGGTTATCGTTTTCATCAACTGCATCGAAGTGTGTACAAGAAGAACCCTTCTCTTTACTCACCGTGAAATGTGATTACAAGTACATGTACCGCTAATCATTGTCAAAATGCTACAGGCATTCTGTTAACACAGTTCTTTTAGATCTACCAATAATCTAAAAATTCATGTTTTACTCAATGTTTCATTGCATCATACACTGTCATAACTGATAAAAATCCAGCAATCGTTATACCCTGATCTTTTGTTCAATTGACACGTCTTTTAAAACTCTTCTAAATAATACTGTAATTTTCCATCAGACGTCTTCTCTGTCCATTTTAACAATGTTTACAAACTTGTACATGCTATAATGAAATACATACGTGACTTTTAGAAAAGCAAATGTTCCGTATTTATCAATTGGAATGATGTTCGAACGTGAGAAACAAGCGGCAAAAATAGCTGACCTTTAGATGAAAGTTGACACCAGCTCCAATAATCAAACAAATAGCTTAAAAATATTGATTCATTGTCGAACATCAAAGGCTGACGAAATCATTCAACGAATACGGAATCGGAGCATCGATTAACTATTCCGTTTTCACCACTTTAAAAAAAAAGGCAAACTAAGATAAAGTTCGAACCTGTCAAAAGCATTGTTTCCCTTTGTTTCAGGGGGCGTTTCAGATGTCGAGTTAAAGGAGAGAATAATTGGTCATGCTCTTTTTCCCATGTTTGTAAAACAGTTAAGTGAATGTCCATACATGCATGGGTCGTTGGTGCTTGTGAGATTTACGTTAGATTCTAAATGGAACGTTGGCGGTTTTATCAACATAATTTGACTGTTCCAGGTCACACTTCTACGAAAGAGTGATGTACGATTTTATGGAAACGAAAATTCACTGATGCGGGAAGTCATTTGTCGTGCTATTCGAGTACAATGTACGAATAGCATTTTTAAAAACGTTTATATCATAAGACCGTCAGCATCATTTGCTATCTAACTTAGGGAGAAAACATAGAGAACGCCGACTTCGGAGAGTGATCAAGGAAGTGCCGATGGGTATAACGTATGATTTCCAATTTCCCGCACAAGGAGCTGGCAGACTGCAGGCGGCTTTAAGCACCGATCGGCGCCGTCGGCTTTGTCGGAATCCAAACTACATTCTTATTACGCCAAAAAACTTGAAAGGGTCCCTCGCTGTCAACACTCAATGCCGTCTCGCCGTCGCCAACTCGAGCTCTGCGGTTTGCGTGGCATCACCCGACTGGATTTCGGAAAATCGTTTTAAATGGTCATTTCAGAGCTGGTGTTTGACGTAGACAAAAACTAATTAGATTCTACATGCTTTAATTCAGCGTCGTCAAATTAGGGGG